TTAGACGGCTTAAACACCAAAGATCTACCGTTAAATACAGTAATTGGTAATTGTAGATAAAAAAAAAAAATATTGTCAGTTTATACGTTGTTCTCTGTAACTCAACTAAACTGCTTGGGGATTTTGAGTAACCGAAACTTTTTGTGTTATATTTCGTATCATATCCAGGAAAGGATTTGATCACCTTATATAACCAACACGGTTTGACATTTTCCTTTGGCTGCTGTCCAAATAAAGCACTCTTGCAGCTTGAGCTCCAATTAGATCAAAATTCTGACTTTGAGATTTCAAAGAACATTCGTCAGTCTGTCATATCGATTGTAATCGAATGGATTGATTAAAAATACATTGTTAATCTTTTCTGATACCAAATAATTCCAGAAGCAAAATAGGGTCCTAGCAAATAAACTGATAAGTCTGCGCTTGTAATTATGCTATATCTTTCTCTTTTTAAGTCTTTTCGGCGGTTATGACTCACAACAGCTTCATTTACCTATGTATATAAAATGTACATTTACCTGTATATAAATCGTATATTTCCATGGTTCTTCTGGGGGGGGGAGCTTGTGGAGAGGTTTTCCGTTGTCTTCTCAGCGTTTTTAAATTTAGAACTGTTCTTCTCTAAATCTACTTGCCATCCAAGGCTAAAGAATCCAGTCTAACATTCTTTTTAATTATTAACTGAGGTAGAGAAGGGATAAATTCACACTTTTCCCAAAGACATTGGCGCAAAGTAAACACAAAATGTCAAATTGTTCAGAATTGCATATAAAAGCAACATTTACTTTTTTTACTTTTCTTTCTCTGTTTGAATGGGTTTTTTTCTCAAGACGAATTGGTCAATAACTGTGTTTAAGTCGAATATCATTTTGTATTCGATTCCAACGAAGAATAAAACAAAGTGAGAATTATAATGCAAGACAAACGCGTATTTTATTTTAACTATTTTATAGCAGATAGAAATTATTTCTATTTATTTCAGTCGGCTTTTTTTATTCTTGAGAATGATAGGTAATAGTATAAGTTGTCTATGAGACGTCTTGAGTGACGCAAAGATTTCAAAGTTCCAAAAACGGTATCCATGCCAGGGTCAAAGTTTAACCGAAAAGAGGAAAAATCAACCGAGATTCGAGAAAATTCACACTCAAATTCACTGATTTAAAAATTTGTTCTGGAATTTCCAAAAACATTTAAGATTCTGAAAGATTTAATCGAAACTATCATGTAACAGAAATAATCCTTCGTAAGTTATATTTTCTGATTATAATTCATTTTTAAAATATGACCTTTTAGTGACAACTAAAAATAAATTGGAATAATTCATTAAAAAGAAAAATGAAAACACATCTCTTCTGCTGGCGGGCACACAAATCAAACGACACAATCCTTTTCAACTTAGAAAATCATATTATCATTATGATTTCGAAAAGAAATGAATAGAAATCATAGAGACAGACATAATCAGTTAATAAATAGTAATATATAGCCTGCAGTTCTAAAACCAACACCATCATCAACACCACCAACATCAACAACAATCATAATAATTTTTCTTTTCTAATTTCTTTCTCTTGAATTAAGTAAATGTAATTCGGTTTTCTTCGACAACTCATTGTAAATTTACAGTAATCATAGAAATGCCCAACCCTAGTGAGTATAATGAGAAAATAGAGAAAGTACACCGTATAATTACGAACAGAAACAATATTGGTTATGGCGGAGGCTGGGGGGCGACGAGGAATGATGTGAAGCAGGTGGGTGGAGAGACAGTAGAAGGAATAATAGGAAGTAAAAGAAAACACGATCAAATATCTGTACAGTTCAGCCTCAAGCCTCTAATTGTCCAACGTAGGTTTTGCCACTTCACGCGGCAAAGATTTTCACGTTTATTTCCTATTCATTTATTTTTTTTACGAATTTTGTCCATTTGAGTGTGTGTGTGCGTGTGTTTTATAGATTTTTTTTCTTTTTAAAGTTTCTTATGCTTTTTGTTTAAGTTTCTTAAGTTTTGACGAGGAATCGATAAGATAGCGAAATTTTGCATTCGTATTTCATGTTAATCATCGTTGTTACACTGATTTTTCCTCTAATGTAACGCAAATATAATAACAGACTTCGATTGAAACATGAAATAAATATATGGGAATTATTTCATTTTCCTTTGTGATGCTTTTTCCTTTTTCCCCTTTTTTTAAAAAAAATCTCTTTTTTGCGTGCATATAAAGAACACGCTGAATGGCAAGTTATGTATGCATACATTACCCTGATTTTTCCGTTGAAATGTTTACGTATTTGTGTTTGCGTGTAAAAAACAGATTCCTGCATACACACACACACACATATATATATATATATATATATATATATATATATATATATATATATATATATATATGAAGGCGAATATCAATAATATTTGTGAGTGTGTTTGAGCATTTGTTAATGCACTTGCCAGTATAGGTGTACATAGTACATATATTTGCAGTTGGGTGGTGATGGCACAAGGCCAGCATAATTAAGTATTTAGTGAGAATGTAACTCAATCGCAGTCCGCTACAAACGAAGTGTGATAACCATGTCTTTGCGCAGATCTGTCAATGCCTTTTCTCAATACGTCTGAAGACTTACTAGTCTGTCTCAAGGCCACACTCGCAAAGCGTAAAAAAAAAAAGGATCGAACTAGGATAGGTAGCCCAGAATGGGGAATAAACAAATGCGACCCAAATGTTTCCAAATCTGAAAAGCAAGTGAGAATCAAATGAAGTATGGATTTATGCTATTACTGTCTAGGAGCAGCATATTTGCTGAGTCAGTTGGAAAGTAACAAGCAAGAGAACTACTTTTAATGGGCCGATGAAGACAAAGTAAGTATTTCTTTTATTTCATGGTCAGCTCTCCTGATGGTTAACGCTTCTTATATAAACTAGGCCGGATTTTATCCTACGTTAATCATTTCTGATTAAAATTGACATTAATCAAGCGATGTTTGTAAAACGTTGAATATATATTTATATGAGAAGCACATTGTGTGAGATTCAGCTTATGACATCTATCCTTATTAAAAGTATTGATAGTATTTTCGCTTGTAGTTTCAGGTTTTATTATGAAAGGCAATATAAATTTGTATTTATAAATAAATGCAAAATATATTGGTAAAATGAGAAATGGAGTATAATTCTCATGACCGTAACATTTAATTTAAAAGAGTGCTCAATACAGAGTACAGCTGAATATTATTTATTTTAGGATATTAAAACAAAAACATGTTGAAAATAGCATATATATATATATATATATATATATATATATATATATATATATATATATATATATATATATATATATATATATATATATATATATATATATATATATATAATCATGTCAATATTATTCTATATGCATAAATACATTATTATTTTATCATTTTAAATCCTAATATGAACTCCTTGACATTCGATAGCCTTCATCAGTCTTCCAATCATTGATTTTGTTCCTTGTTCTACTGTTTCGTCTCTAAGAATATTTCCACCAGTTTTATTACCTAGCAGAGATATTTTTGGCTTTGATATTGTTTTCCAGTCTTATTACAACTCTTATAATGATAAGACACAAGTTTTCTATTGGATTCATATCTTTAGACGCTGAGAGCCATTGCATAAATTTAGTGTTTTTGAAACCATTTGTGGTAAAGTATACAAGAGTCAGTTTTTCTGAATATAAAAATGAAATGTATTACATGAATATATTCTTTAACTTAAAGACTTCTTTGTTTAAAGTTGTATCACTCTAAACACTTATTGTTTTAGACCTTGCAATGATTTTCTGTATTTACCTTTACATCGTCATAAATTTAGAAGTGTCCTATAATTTCTCTGCCTATTTTACTAACCCAAAATATTATTACACCTCACCAATATTATCTTCTAAATCGTACTGGTTGGCGATTTACAAAGACCCAAACTCTAATCCAGACATCAGGTCCATCAAATACAGGTATAAATTCATCATTAGAAATTATTACTGAGAAATCAGTTTTCGTGTACTTCTTCATGCAACTGACACGTTTTCATTGATGAAGTTTACATAAAGGTGAAGTTTGTTTACTTCAAGCCTTTTGCCTTTGTCTTTAATATTTTACACCTTTCTCTTTTTACATTCGCAACAAGAGCTTTTTTCAAATATTATCTTTGCTGGTCAATCAGCTTTTCTTGCTTATTCCTCTTTTCATTCAAAAACCTTTTTTATTACAAATCTTAATCCCAGTATCCTTTTTGTTATTATTAATTTTGATTCTTCTGTGAATTCTGTTTAATTTTATCGCAATTTCCAACGTCAATAACTTGACAATATCTTAAAATTCATAACAATCTTTATGAAACTAAAAAATAATAAGCATCAGTATCTATACTATTATATATATTTATTTATTTACAATATGAGGAACAACCGTTGCATATTAAAATCTCATAGAACCCAATAAATTATTATAAATATTTCTTATTGAAACTGATATTATAAGTCGATATTCACGTTGCATATTTATTATATAAATGTAAATATATCCTGCAGATGTTACCAACATCAGCTAAAACCAATGTCATTGAGAGAATATTGACTTGCCTTATAAAATCTGACATCAGGCATGTTTAGGTGCATATTTTTTGTTATTGTCTCGAAATGTAGCATCATTTTTATCTTTTTATATACATACATATGCTTCTAAAATTGTATATATCAAGTATATAGAGTGTATTGAAAATATCGAACTATATATAATAAGAAGAGGAATATATGTCTGTGCCTTAATGCGCGTATGTCACACATGCACATCGATAGATAGCAACTTTGTATGTTTTCTTTTATATATATATAAAAGATTTTTTTTTAATTTATTTACTTCTGTACGCGTGAGTACCTTATTGCATTCGAATAATAAATATATGCGTCTTTATGATTTATTCCATACAGTAGTGGAACCGTTGCTATTCTGAGAAAGCTTACGGTTATATCACTTTGAAACCCCAGTTCTCGTTCGATCACCGAAGTTAAGCAACGTCGAGCCTGGTCAGTATCTAGACGGATGACTGCTTGGAAATACCAAGAGCTTTAAGCTTAGATGTGTGAGTGGTGTAATGGAAGAGGGCTTTAAATTGTTAATCGGAGAGCAGAGTTCGAATTCCAGTCGGGTTCGTTACATTCACTTTAAGCACAAATACTCTATGGGTTAAAATAGTAAAACTTGTATCTGAAAATCATTATTATCTCCCATTAATTCTTAATACAGTATTAACTGACCAAAAAAAGAATTATTCCTACAATCCGAAAATATGTTTCTGCTTAAATCAGAAACATATTTTTGCATTGTAAGAATTAATTATATAATTAATTATTTAATTAAAAACTTAAAATCAATATAGAAACTACTTTATTAAGATTCGAATAGCAATTCCAGTTGTTATTGCATCTCATACTTAAAAATAAAGATACACGTATTCACATAAGTATACATATATTTTTTTCAAACTACCTCATAAATTACCAAATTAGACTATTTTATTCACGAAATAACCAATAACAAAACTGAATACAAAGATAAACCAATAACATTAAGATTTTCTATAAAAATCAAATACAGGTTAACTCTAAGCAGGATGGATTTTCCCTTAAAAGCATTATAAAGAAATATAAAAGCCAAGGTAAAACAGCTAACGTAAAATCAACAATAACAACACACCTACAATTTTCAAATTACAGAAAAGCAATATTCTTTATGAATTCACATGTCCCTTAAGGAAACTCTTTCCTGATCAAACCAAATTCATTACTAATTATACCATTGCAGGCCAGTTAAGAAGACTCACGTTACACCTCTCAGACCTAAAGAGCTAAATTTAAACATGCACAGAAACCTACTAAAGTCTATCCGCAATATACTCGTAGGAAACGCAACTACAACAGCCTATTCCATATGTAGAAAAAAGCTAAAAGTAATGGAAGCATTAATAATAAAAAGAAAAAGCCAATACTCAATAATATCAACTATGAACACGGTCACAATCTACTGACCGTGTTTGGAAAATAAAAAAAAAACATTCCGCCACTCTAGATACATATATAAATAATCTATACATTCAGATAAAAAGAAAGAAAAAATTCTTCATAATGTCTAATAGAATATCCAAAAGCGATCGGATATATAGAACACTGTTCTTACACACTTTATGCCCAGAAAAGAAAGTACTTATACAGACACAAGAAAAACTGAATACAAAGCTTAATCGCAGTACTTTGTCAGTCGTTTTTAATGAAACTTGTATAACGAAGGGATTGTTGGTAAATATACATATATATATATATATATATATATATATATATATATATATATATATATATATATATATATATATTACACAATAAAATCTAAAGTAATCTGATATTTTGATTTTATTGTGTGATAATATTTATTGCCTCTGTAATAATAAATACATTAAACTCTTTTTTGTGGATCAGTTTTAATATCACTAGGATCCACTTGGATTATATACCAACGAATTTATTTTTATATATATATATATATATATATATATATATATATATATATATATATATATATATATATATGAAAGCAAAGTCTCTTACCTGGTTATTAACCTCTTAAAAGTACTCCTCTTGTTTTAAAGTACTCCTCTTCTAAAGCTATAAAATTCGCGAGTTATTACTGGAAATATTTTTGGAACTCTTCTTCAAAAATATTTGTCAGTATTGCTGTCAAGTGTTGCTGGGTGCAATAAATATTTCAGAGCAAATTATTTTTCAGGTTTAGAAGCAGCAAAGACTGAAAAGTGGTTAAACTTGGTGAATAATGTGGATGATCGATTTTTATGATGAATTTCTTATCCAGGAACTCACGAACTCTTAATACATCATGTGCCCGACTATTGTCATATTGGAGAAAAGTCTAAGTTCTGGCCTTGCGCTCTGAACATATTCGCTGAGCGCATCAAACTTTGTTCTTTGTACACATTTGCATCTGCCTTTTGTCTGCACAATTTTTTCGACATTCTGCACATCTCGCTTTTCCTTGTGTCACTCAAAATTACTCAATTTATTCATTGCACCATGAACCATTTTAATCAAGCTAACATTTTACTGGAACCTTTAACAATCTACACGTAAAACTTGATGTTAATTCACTTCAAATTCCTTTTAAAAATTTTTCTGCAAACATGAAACACATATGAAATGAGAACATGAACACGCACTACTACCTCTACTACTCGGCAATGACTGACTCATCTGCATTTGAAGAAAGCGACGTTTGAAACTGTCAGAACCTGGTCAGAGAAAAATATTTTACAGGTTGCGGTCATTTAGAGAATTAAAATGTCAAAACTGATTAGTCAGCTGGAAAGGATCAATATCAAAATAAATACAATATGTTAATATTATTCAATGAAACATTTTTGCATGAAGATATACTGTCTAAATATACATATATATATATATGTGTGTGTGTTTCTGTGTTTGTGTGTAAAAATCTCAATCTGTAAAAGGAAAATCTGAGTAAAGACAAAAGGAAAAATGATCTTGGCCGACGTTCGGAGAATGAAACGCGTCGACTAAGATAAGTTTCCTTTTTGTCTTTATTCATATTCACACACACACACACACACAAACACACATATATATATATATATATATATATATATATATATATATATATATATATATATATATATATATATATATACTGGCATATGTGGCTGTAAGATTTTCTTTCTTTATCACTCTCGTATATTTATAATGGTTATAATATATATATTCCTGATAGAGAGATGTGTATATATATATATATATATATATATATATATATATATATATATATATATATATATATATATATATATATATATAAAATATAAATAGGTATATATATATATATATGCCGATAGATAGATGGTTTTTCTATATATTTACATATATATATATATATATATATATATATATATACACACACACAGACATATATATATACTGATAGATGTGTTTATATATATATATATATATATATATGTATATATGAATGAGCATAAATGTTCGTATGCGTTTATACCTGTGATTTATTAGTCAAAATTGCCTGTACTCTCATTGATGCAGCAGTCAGTATTTCTGCGGGGAAAAAGAATGGTTACGCTGTATGTATGTATGTATGTATATATATATATATATATATATATATATATATATATATATATATATATATATATATATATATATATATATATAGGTATGTAGGTATGCCAGTGGTAGGCATGAGTTTCAATGCATTCCTGTATTTATCTGTACCTAAAAGTGTTTACACTTTCATCTATATAATTATTTACCTTTAGTTTTCATTAAAAGTTCTTCCGGTTATCAGTCTCTTCGTTTCTTTCTCTTATAATTTTTTTATCTATTATCTCCAATAGAAACATAAGGCAATAATGAAGTTAACTGAATTGAAATTGAGGAAATTACTCAACCATTTTTCTCGCAACGTCTTATTTCTTAACGATAAAAAATTAAAGCCAATCAGGTGGGAAAAAAACTAGAAAGCAATTTCCAACGCCATTTTTCTGTGATTGGGATGATATCAAAACCCCTTTGAAACCGACAATTCAGTTCGGAACCCGATAAAAAAAAACTGAAAAACTTCTCCAATAACAATTTACTTCGTGACGTCATTCAATTGACAAGCGAAAGAATAAAAGAGATCTCGTTGCAGAATTAAACGCAGCGTGTTAACGAGCTTTATTTTGTCTATATCACGCGTGAACAAGATTTTCGTGAACGAGATTTCAAAATTGTCATTCATGTAAATGTCTTGGCGACGTTCTAGTATGCCTCTCGGGTGTGATTAACGTCTTACGTCAATTTCAATTAACATTCTGGATGAATCTGCTATGCAAGTGAGTCAGAGTGTTAATAAATGGCGTCTGTATATATTTATTAAGGCGAGTTGCAAGTAGGTGTGTATTTGACATATCTTTAGAGAGAAACTTAAATATTTTTCAAGTAGAAAATAGTAAACTTTTACAAATATCTTTCCTTCAATTATGCATAGGTCTACAATTAAAAATAGAATAAAAATCATTTGGGCGCTTGTTGTAGAGAGGTTATTAATGAAAATGAAACATCTCTATAATTCTAGATGCATACACACAACCCATACATCCAGTTAAAAAATAAAAATAAAATCGTACTTGATAATGGCTAAAAGTATAGCTGAAAACGCTCGGTTTTACAAAACATTTTGACAATTTCTAGGTACTTTGTGTCCAGAAAATAAAACACTTGTTCAAACACAAGAAAAATTAAATAAAATGTTCAATCGTAGTGTCTTGTCTCTCGTCTTTTAATTAAATACTGTTTTATTTAACATTGAAGTGTGGAGTTATACTTAATCATTAACGGCCACCATACGTCACAAAAAAGTTAAGGTGTTATTTTGTTTTTTGTTGCTGCTCTGTTTATCTTTTTACTTTATGAGATCTAGTAATTTACAATTGTGTGTTTATGTCATTAAGGCGTTATCTATTTAAGAAAACTAGTCAGCATTTTGGAATAAGATATTTTGAAAACTGAATTCTATGGATTCTAAAAATTGGCATGATAGGAAAATAATAGGTAAGCCGAAAAATGTATTATTGAATGTTAATGTTAAAAAGATAAAAATAATTCGTACAAAATCGACATTTTTTATAATTTCGTTGGTCAGTAGGAAGAGATGTATTTTTACTTCGGTTTAGAAAATCTAAACATTTGTCAACTGCTATGTTAGTATATATATATATATATATATATATATATATATATATATATATATATATATATATATGGGTCGAATATCTAGTCATGTTTTATTTCTCATATTTATTATGTCTTTCAGTCTCTCTAATATCCGACCGAGATGTTTTATTTTATCCGCTTTTCTTAATCAGGTATTACTGAAACAATGTGAAATATATACACGTTGCTGAAAAAATACACGTTGAGTTGAAACTTGTTAAAAATATAATTTATTTGACGATGCAGTTAAAGTAACTTCACATGCATAACTTCAAATA